GTGTGTGTGTGTGTGTGTGTGTGTGTATGTGTGTGTGTGTCTCTCTCTCTCTCTCTCTCTGTGTGTGTGTCTGTGTGCCTGTGTCTGTGTCTGTGCCTGTGCGTGTGTGTGTGTGTGTGTGCGTGTGCGTGTAATTCAATATATATAATTGTGCAATCAATATACATATGTACTGATTAAGATAGGTCCACGCTTCACTATATACTTTGAGACCGAACGCAAATACATACACAAACACATGTACAAAAAACACACACCATCGCAAAGGCGTTGCCTGGTTTCTTGCTGACTACGGGTGACTCGTCGTCGCTCTCGTCCTCTGCATCGTGTTGTACACTCTCCTGTTGCAGTTGTTGCGCTTGTTGAGCGCGCTTGAACGCCCGAGATGACATTTAGAGTTATGCGATAAACACTGTGTTGTGTGTCTTAGATTTCCTTGACAATTAGTGTATAATGTGGGTGCCACTTATGTTGCTAATCGCGTGACCTGAAGAACATGCTATGTATGTTTGTGAATAAGTACGTCTTACTTGTTGCTTTATTCATTTCCAAAAGGTGAAGATTTTTGTTTTTAGTAACATGATGAGATCACACAGCATTTTAGACTAAAACAATGCCACAGATATTATGTCATCCTTTTTCAGAGGACCGGCAGAAATACCTTTTACGAAAGCGCGCTCAAAAGATCTCTCACAACAATATGTAAATATGTAAAGAAATAAATATAATATAAACTCTACATACATACAAATAACAAATATGTAAACATATTCAAAATATGCGCCATGTTGAGAGATAGCAGGATACATAGCAACTAGTTGAATACGGTTACGCACACGCAAGTTAAACTGGAGTAGTACACGGAGTAGTACACGGGCGTGCCAATTATAGAGTACTTCATCCTCATCTGGGCTTAAAAATTTGTATGTAAACTTTCGAAGTTGGCCCGAACTGTCACACTTGTCCTGGCGTTTCTGCTAACTGCCCCCAGACTTATAGTATGTCCAATGACCAGGCATACATATGCCTTCAGGCGGTGAGTATAGCAGAAGAAGCCACGCTTAAATGCAGGAATGCGATAAACGTTCTACATGCTTCGCTAAGATGTTCGGCAACGACAGTGTCAACAGAGCCACCGGCTGAACGTACAGGTGAACGTATTGACGCATCCGATCAGTTACACAAACAGTCCCCATCGAAGATACTGCGCGATAAAGAGACTCATAAATCAGACAGTGACATTGTTACGCAGCAAAAAGTTAGTACGGATGGAATAGAGAGGTATGAGAGTGTACCTGAGAGCTCAGCAAAATCATCATTAGACAAGAACGGCCAGGCAGTAGCGATAGATGAATCGGCAGCTAAATACGCCTGGGATGTGGATCTGGGAAACCAATGTCGTGAAGCGTGCCCACAATTACGTAGAGTATACACAAACGCACTGGACGCAAACACTGCTGAGTTGCAAAGCCTTGTGGCACTGTCACACAAATTATCTGAGATACGGAAGGTACGACAGTTTGCTTCTCCGCCGAAGTTTTTGGAGCGAGTGAATGCAGAGAAACAGAAACCAGCCCAGTCAGACTCAGATACCCTGGGAGACGACGACAAGGGCGGTGTGAGCAAGACACACAAGCGTGCACATTCATTGAACGATTATGAGACAGCAGAAAGCTCAGGTAAACGGCGAGATGTGGAGAAGAAGGGGGTTAGTAGAGCGCATAGTGAAGTGGCCATGCTGAAAGATGCGTTGACACCAGCGTCAACAAGCAGCTACACGCGCGGGGGTGGCGCAAACACGAGTGCGAACGACCGCATCGCCAGCAGCGCGCGTGCGCAAGAGCACAAGCACACGATCAAGCACGACGCCAATGCAGCGCCGCAGGTCACGCGGCAACGTACTGTGGGCAAGAGTGAGATCATCAACTCGCTGGATGCACGCATCCCTGTATGGAAACCGTCGCGTACCAGCGACACGCCGCCGCCGCTGTGTGGCGCGACGCCAGTAGACACGCAATATGTGGTGCCGAGTGGGCACCACGTGGCAGCGAAGATTAGTAAGCCGCGCGAGTTGGAGGAGGTGTGGATTTTGGCAACCGTGGTGGGGTTTATTAGCGATAAGAACAAATATATTGTGCGGGATATCATGGATGAAGGAGGAGGGGATGCGCACACAAGAGCGGGGGGTGGGCTGGGTGCGGATGCAAATGGGAATGGTAGCAAGCATGGGGGTAAGCATGATATAAGAAGTAGTAAGAATGGGGCGGACGGTGATACTGGCGCGGCTGTGGGGAAACTGGGCACACAGCATTATTTGAGCCGAAAATATGTGAAGCCCCTCCCTAGGAGTGTGCCACCGACGAATTACAAACCAGCGCCGTACTACAAAGAAGGTACTGAAGTGCTAGCGATGTATCCACAAACCACCTGCTTCTATCCGGGGAAGGTGCTGCACGCTCCACACTCGCAACACGGGTTCATGAGCCGGAACGACTATATTATCGAGTTCTCCGACGATGAAGATATGGACGGCACAGTACCGGCAAGACCGATTGCGCAGAAACATGTGATCTCTAGGCCTAAAAAATAGATACAGTTGAGTCGCGAGATAAATTCGTTTGATGGAAATAAACTGTAATAAAGGTTCTCCATGCTGTATCGGTGAGAGGTAGATATGTACCTATACACGTGTGAGTGGTACGGACTTTGCACTTCAACATGGTGAGTTTCAATCTGCATCGATTTTGTACCTAAATTTGCGTATTTTTCGTGCTAAGCCAGGTAGGCGGCTTTGAGATGAATACGCATCATTGAAACATACCTGATGCATCCACAATAGCACGTTTGTGTTTATATACACGTATAAATGTATCGGAATTTGATATATCATGTGTGTTTAAATCGGATATCGTGTATGTATATGTATCAGTCCTACCCGCCTCATCTTCATGTATAGGCAGTATCCATTTTGATTTATTTTTCGAGCATTCATTTGTATTAAAATACATTGATATATACACGAAAAATTCGAAGTTGATTGCATTTATGGGGGAAGGAGACACTCATATCGCACATGTACACATGCGTATGTGTGAGTTTAGATGTCTATCTCTATGCAGTTCTATCTATATACCCGCTTTCAGAATCAGCTAAATTTGTATACGTGGATTCGAGGTTGTATTTGAGCTACATATTTTTACATAACATGTGTTTATGAGCATATATGTGTGTATGTATGTCTGTATATAAATATATATATATATATATATAT